AACCGCTCCCGAGGAGTCAGGGGAGCTTGGGCACAAGCAGGTCCCTGTCAAATCCCTCTAATATTGCCTTCCTTCCAGCTTCAGATTCAACTCACATCTGAGCGGGCATCAGTCCCTACATCTAGCCAGGCCACCCTTCGCTAGACTGCCATTTTTAACCTAAAACATAGCGTGGTGCCTGCTTATTGTGTTCGACTGCTATCAGCGCGAGGGTAAAGGATATAAGATTGTCCAGGGTGGATGTCCGCCATTGATGTACAGGACATAGGTGAAGCCATCTTTGAGGACCCCTCTGATGGAATAATAATAGGGAAGATAGTGGTGCTGTTTAAAGTCTCTGTTTTCATAGAAGTTTATTGCTGTGTTGTTAGTGGTGAGGACGTGCAGGTAGATGGCTTTGCAGTGATCTTGGGCAGTCGTCGATATATGGTCTTTTAAACTTTCGAGCAAGAGCGAACCTGTTGAAGAAAAGAGCGGCAGAATCACACAGTGCAGCGGCCTTCTCAGGGACAGCACACGGGTTCGTAGGTCCCAGCTGAGATCCCCTGCGCTCAGCGCCTAAGCAGCGATTGCTGCACACGCTTGAAGACCCCAGATCCCACCCAGTTCTCACAGACTCTCTTGTTGAATTTAACAGGACCATGCTACGTGGTTTTAATATGAATCTCATCTCACCTAAGAGCATGACAAAACAGATTTTATAAAGGCACGAACTTCTGATTCAATAACCACAAAGATGAGCCAGACACAGGAATCTGCCAGTAACACCCATCCCCAGCCAAGCAGCTCTCAGCTTTGGGGAAGGTCAGTGAGTCATTTTCAATGGTATCAGTTCCATCACATTTATTTATTTTAAAGCCATTTAAAACAGCAGAGAGTCAAAACAAGACTTCACAAGCAGGTTATTGCATTGCATCTGCTGAACTCAAATTAAAAGCTAAGAGCTGGTAGGATTTTAAGATCCCTTCTTAGGAGGAAAGCCAAGGCACAGTCTCACTCAACCTGGATTTTCTGCAGCCACTAGTCAGCAGGAGAAACCAGAGGAGGGCACAGAGAAGGGCACAACCTCAAGAGACGAGACCTGGAGGTTCATCCAAACCACCTCACCACGGCATGAAGGACCCAGCAGAACCTGCAGGGGAACTTCTTCCATCAGGTGTGGTAACGACAGGCTAAAGAAATAGCTTAGCTCATACAAACACACAGATGAGATTTACGCCGCTGTTTCACAATCCCCAGACCACTTCATGGTCACTTGACACTTAGTAGGAATTTATACCAGCCAAGCACAAAAAGACACCGAGAGGCATCATCAGGAGAGCAGTTTGTTATGAGATATTCCACTCTTCTATCTCACAGAAATCCAACTGCCTTCTGGTTTAAGAGCAGCAGACAACTAGAAACCAAAGCCCTTTAATGTCTGCCAGAGAAAAATCAGAGCTTTAGTGCTTAAAAATATGCCTGGGGTGAAAAGCCTCCTGGCATGAAAGACTTTGGCTTCAAACACAAGTAGAAAAACTCTCAAGAGAAAGGTCTCTGAAAAAGCAGCAGCAGGCAGCAGCTTCTTTAGATTACACCTGCTATAGGCACAGGAAATAATGGAAGGAGAAAATTCCAGCAAGATGGAACTGAAAAAAAAACCCAGGATTTGGAAACTGAAAGGGGACTCAAAACTGCCACAACTTTACAGATCCCTTTACCGTCCTCTCTGAACATTACTGTGTGCGAGGATTCTCTTCTTTGTACAGAACATTCATCTCCAGTAGCATCTCAATGCAAGTTTTAAATACAGTGCTCCCACTAAGGACTCTTCTGGTCATTTCTTTGTGTGTCCTACTAGTCTGTACCCTTCTAAATATGACTGGGGGAGAAGGGAGGACTCAAGGAAGAGAAGTTCTAACCCAAAACATTCTATGATAAGTTACGCCTGTATCCACTGAAGAGATCGAGATGTGCAACACTGGGTCATGCTGCCAAACCTGGCCTATTTCCTTTTGCAGATCAAAGACGTAGATCGTGCTTGAAATTGCACCAGAAGGGCACTCACTTGACGACAAAACACATCCTGCTCTGAACGGAGATAAGCCCTTCTGACTGCAGGATTTTCAAATGGCTGCAAAAATGCTGTGTGTTGCAGCAGGCATTCAGAGCAGACGTTAACACACATTGTAACAGATTTAATCAGGCCCAAGTTAACAGTCTTTTTCCAGTTCCCTGTGTCTTTTTCTAAACGCTTGTTCTATCTGTTGAAGTTGAAAGGTTAAAAGCAGCTGTATTTTCTGCCTCAGGGACCAGGCTTCTGATACCCATGAAAGAAAATCACTTCAAACCCTGCTCCACGGTGAAGTCCTAGCGCTTCAGTCAGTCTCAGCAGCAGGGGTGCAAGTTTTTGGTGTGCTCAGCTATTCCCTGGAAACAAGACAGACAAAGCCCCGTGCTCTTTGGAAACATTTGCACATTGGGTTGTGCCTACACCAGTAAAAGCGTCTCAGTGCACCTGCATTAACGCCAAGAAGGGGATGCGAGTGCATCGCCTTCCCCATTGCTGGCACAAATCACCGACAAGCTTGTCTCAAAAGGGTGAAATGGTGCAGCTCCTTCAGTCATGCTCACTAGCCACACATGGCCAACCAAGGTGTCACTTAGCAGCAATCTTACCTATTCCGTGTTTTCTGAACTCCTTCACCACTCCAAGACTTAAGATGTAAGCAACTTGAGTGTCCACAGGAAAATTGGAAGCTAGGATGTCTCCATCCTGAGTAGAGATATAACAAGTTATTTAGTAGGATATCTGGGGAGGCACCGGAGAAGGCAAGAATCCTGTTCCAGAACATCTGAAAACAAGGCTACAGCAGGAAACTTCACTGAACAGTCTTAGCTGAAGCTTCTGAAAAGGAGGTGGGGAGTTAAAAAAACCAAGCACGGTCCCTTAGAGGTTATTCCCACTTTCATACCATCTTTCCAGATGCAGAACACAAGTCATGATGTTTCCTTACTATATACATTATTTGTGGGCTTAGGGACAGAATATATTTGCATTCTTTACCAGGAAGGATTCAAAGTGCCAATTCTGGAGTTACACATCCGTGTCTAGATCAATCCAGCAAGAGCCTTTATTGCCTGCACGCTCCATCTGAGCTTCGTGTCAGCTGGAGCTCTCTCTACTGCTGTAGAGGACAAGGAGCATGTTCTACAGGCTCGGTCGCCTGGAGCGGTGTCTGAATAAGCCCCTGGCTTTCAGCTTGGCTGGAACAAGAGCCTTTTGTTAGAGTTGCTGAAGATGCAGTTTCTGATTTTGACTAGCTTTGAGGTGAAGCCAGATAGCTAGAGTGAAGAGACTCAGGCCACTCAATGCTCTCCGTTCCTACGAATGTTAAGATTGTTGTTTAATCACAATGCTGAAGGCACTGCCTGCATTGCCCCTGCTTTTTTTAATC